ATTTCACTGGAAAAGACATTCTTAATTCACTTGTTTTAGTCTCAGACATTACCGAAGAAGACATTTTGCTAGCACTGAATAAATAAATAAATAATAATAAATAAATAAATAAATATTTAATTGTCCTACAGAATATTCTTCCAGTTACAAGACAATTTCAGCAAAACATAATACAATTTTAGTCTAACTAATAATTGCGTATTTGATATTATTTGCGACATACACATTAAGTTCGTATGAGTTGATGTTTTTAAAGAAAAGCCGTGCTGGTGTCTAGAAATTAGTTCCTTAATATTGAAATAAATTTGTCGATATAAAATACTTTCATAAACTTTGGAAAAGCAGGATAAAATTGAAATGGGGCGGTAACTGCGCACATCGGATATATCTCCTGATTTGTATACTGATACAATTTTAGCGATCTTCCACATATTGGGGAAGCAAGAATTATTAAGGCTTAGGTTAAACAAATAACACAAAGGTTTAAGAAAGGCAGCTGAACAGTCTTTTATCAGAAAAGAAGGGATTTGGTCGATGACAGCGGAACAAGTGTTTTTAATTTTACTGATAGCTGCAAGCACATCGTCATCAAAAATCTGGATATGGAACGGCAAGTTGCTGCTATTACTAACATATGTATTACCTTGCAATTCGTTGGTTTCAGGTGAGTCAAAAATCGAGGAAAAATAATGGGCAAACATATTAACAATGTCCAGTGGACGGTCATACTCACTGTTGTCAAAATGTACGGAACTTGGAATGGAAGAACGGCCTCGTTTTTCTTTTATAAACGTCCAAAAATATTTTGGATCACTTAACAATGAATTTTGCGCTTTAATAATATAGTTATTGAAATCCCGACGAATTAACCGTTTGACGTCACGCCGTATATGAGAAAAATTTAAATATGCTTCACCGGATGGTAACTGTTTGTGGCATTTAAAGAACTTACGTTTTAGTTTAAGCATACTTCTGAGTTCTGCCGAGTACCAGTTAGGGTAACGAAACCTTTTACACTTAAACAAAGGCACATGCTTGTCAATTATATCATACAATACGCTATAAAAATGCTCACAAGCTTGGTTTACATCAGTGATTCTATACAAGTAACTCCAATCAGTGTTGAAAATATCCTGTACAATAAAAGAAAATTCGGTTTTTTAAAATTGTACAATTTGGCCATATTACATGCAGCGAAATTGATGTAAGAAACTTTTTTTAATTGGAGATTAATATTTAACGCCGGATGGTGCATGTCTTCCGTAATTAATGGACATAAATCACGACTAACAGTACAGTGAGTTGAGGTACTAAAAACTAGGTCTAAAAGGCGACCATCAGAATTTGGGACAGAATTAAGCTGCGTTAAGTTTAAAAGTGAAGCCATCTTACGAAGAAAACTTGATTTTGTATCATTCTTATTACTGGAAAAACTTGGAGAATTGAAGTCCCCAATTAAAAATATATTAGAAAGCTCAATGGCGTAGCTTTCAAAGCATTCTATAAATAACACAAAATCAGTTACAGAAAGATCAGGCGGTATGTAAACTACAAATATGTGTAAATTACCTTCTTGACAAAATAACTTACAACCTATGATATCACACAGAAAAAAATCTTTAAATGTCGACATGTCCAGGCATTTAACGTTGAACTGAGCATTAACAGCCAGAACAACTCCCTCGCCGCTTTGACGATTGGATCTATTGAAGTCTGAGCGAAATGCAATGTAATTTGGCGGAATAAATTCACTGTTATTGATCGATGGATCAAGCCATGATTCTGTAATACATATTATATCAAATACATTAGCCGTTAAATTGGAGTAAATGTCATTAACACGTGATTTAATGCTGCGAGTGTTCTGATAATAAACAAAGAAACTTTTGCTATTGCTGGGAAAGGTTGTAGGTGTTCCTTAACAGAGAGTTGATTATGAAATACCGTTACTTCATGTCTCAGCCTTTCACCCCAAGATCCGGTGTGCCGCAAAAGTCTAATCTGGGCCCCTTGCTGTTTATATTGTTTATTAATCAACTGCTATTTGCTGACGACTTAAAACTTTTCTTGGAGGTCAAATCTTTGAGTGATCGTCAACAACTTCAATTAGATTTAAATCGTCTAATTTATTGAGGAAAGTGTAATCGTCTCTCAATTAATAAATCTAAGTGCTTCGTTGTCTTTTACTCGAGAAAAAATTCTATTGTTACGTTTGACTGTTATATGGAACGCGTAGTCTTAACTTGTTTAGACAGGTTCAAAGATTTAGGAGTTGTTTTTGATAATAAATTCCATTTTTCTAATTATATTGCGGAATCTATTTCCAAAGCGTATAAAATGTATGGTTTCATATTATATCGTAGCTGTCGTGACTTTTCAAACACACTCTCACTTATTGTCCTGTTTAATTCTTTCGTCAGGTCAGGTCAGGTCAGGTCGATCAACTAAAACGAATTCAAAGAAAATTTTTTTAAATTTGTTGAGTATCTGATTGATGGCATTTATCCCCCTCAAGGGTTCAATCATGAACTATTATTGGCCAAACTTAATTGCAAGCGACTCCGCACAAGAGGAATAATTATTGTTGATAAATTTTCATACAATTTTATAAATAACAGAATAGATTGTCCATACCTTCTTGATAAGTTTTTCTTTATTGTTAATATCTTTAATAGGAGTATGTGCTTACTCACAGATTCATTTAAGTTTATGTTTCTATTCTCAACGTTTCAAATATCATATTGCTTTCTTAATTTGTAATTATTCTAATTTTCATACTCATTTATTGTTAATATGTTTAATAAGTAAGTATATGCTTATTCTGAAATAAAAATTATTATTATTATTATTATTAAAAACATTAAATATCTCGGATCCATCCTAAACTAACATTTCCACCCGCATTAAAATATCTGATGAAATAGATTCTATAACTTTTTTTATTTTATTTTCCAAATGTCGTACGGTGTTAATTGGAGTTTGGTAAACTTTTTCTTTAACTGTATATATCCTACAGAAAGAAAGGCGTAATATTTGAACTTTTGAAGGCCAAGAGTCAGCAAACGTTCTCAATCTACCTGTTAATGAAGACCACATCAAGGTAATCCCGCACCCTTCTAGGATAATGCACAAGAGTATTATGTTGTTGAAGCCATAAATTGTGTCGTAATTCCAAATGAACATTTTCTTGTTTGTCACTAGTGTGAACAAAAAGTTCCTTACTGAGTTACACTGTCCCCAAAGGGATACTAAAATCTTTCTAAAAATAAAAAATGAGAATGTTGTCTCTTAACAAATAATGTCTAAGACTAATATAGCTCGGAGAAAAGCATCGACCTATTTAATTTAATTTTGTATTTGGTAGTTTTTTCAATTTTTGATCTTTAAATGTATTCTCAGTTTTGAAAAATGCCAATAGTTGCCTTGCGTGTTTAAAGATTGAACTTTATTTTATCTTATATTCAACTAGATTTTTGTCAGCGTCAAATCATAACAGATGTAAAAAACACTGAACAAAGAGGTCATCACTTCGCCTTGACCTTTCCTTCGTCACAAATTACTGCATTACGATTCACATCGAACTCGTACTTCAAATAGTCGGCTATAAATATGTCAATCTACCACATATCCACGCTATTACTAGTTGTGGTTTTAGTTGTTCAAGACATTTTGTGTTTTTGTGAAGAATCTCATGTGATTATTTGTGACGACTTAGCAGATGTCAAGCAAAACGAAACTACTCCATGGCACCATGTACAAATAGGATCTTTGAGCGATTTGACTGAGTCACCCAAGCATAGTTTAAATTCCAGTGTTCTTTTTGATTTGCACAGAACTAAATCTTTAACTATCATCAACCAAATCCGTCTCATTAAAAAAATTTACCGAATTGCTCATATTAGCTATCTGAAATATCTGAACCTGTACCGTAACAATATTCTCGAAATAACCGATGCTGCCTTTTCCGAAATATCTTCACTACGACAAGTTTATTTGAAGAACAACAATATTCAACACTTGGGACGAGGAATATTCGAAAATTTGACCTTAGATATTATAGATCTGTCTTGGAACCATATTCACTCGGTAACTACTGGCTTCTACAATACAAAAATAAAATGGCTTTTATTGAACCACAACGAGATAAATTTTATTGGATATGAACCGTTTCCAAGCAGTTTACAACAACTGGAACTTAGCAACAACCAGCTTGAGTCTTTGGATAAGTATGCTTTCCAAAACTTGCAAAAACTGAAAGAACTTTATCTGAACCACAACCGTCTCACCACTGTTCCTGATATTGCGACCTTGAAACAAATTCAGTATTTGCATTTCGCGCACAATAAAATCGAAGAAGTACATTTTCGCTTTGACAAATTTCGCAAGCTCTCTTTCGTTGATTTAAGTTTCAACATTATCAAAAATGTTACGAGTGATGTGTTTGCCTCTAACGACACACCGGCCATCGTTGTGCTAAGTTTTAATCGATTAACGAATATGGTGTTTGAACATCCTGAAAAAAGAACGGATCTTGGTCTACTTGGAAACCCATGGAATTGCAACTGTTGGTCTAAAATTGAAAACATTTTGGGGAACTATAACCACGACAACACCTGCGAGTTTAATAGCATTTTTAATAAAGGTACCGTGCCTTTCTGCATTGAAAGTGGGGAGTGTGGAGGATCTCGTGTTATTAGTGAAAGTGAGATCGATAATTTTCTTGATGCGATTAGTATATGCGAAGACAAAATCAAAATATGCAATTTTCGCTTATAATACCTTGTTTTTAGTTAGATTTTTTTTTATCTGTGTACATACAAAGTTTAGAAATTGTGTTTCTATTTAATCGAAAATAAATAAATATGTGTGCTTACAAATTTAGAAATTGTTTATTGTCGCTTTTATGTTTGATTTCTATTTTGCTTTCATGAGCTTCACTGAAATTTAAATTTTTTTTTAAAGTCTTCATGCCACATTTCTTATTTTTTATTATCTCTTCAGAACTGGGTTAAATCAACTAGAGGAGAAAAAGTCACGAGAATTGTTATTTTCCATTTCACAAATAAAAGTTGAAACTAGTCGAATTTCATTAATATGCACGAAATATATGTATCAAAATTTAGTCGTAGCTAAAAAACAATTTTTAAATGTTTCAGTAAAGACCATAATTATTAATTTTTTGAAGAAATTACACCTCAAATTAGATAAACATCCATACATTTGCTGTGAAGCCTAGTTTCGTTTATGTTTGGCAATTAACGTTGTCGCTTTTACAACCCACTAAAACACACAAGTAAACAACAAAATATTTACCATATAAGTTAAATTCTCAGCTGCGTTACGAGAAGAAACTACCATTTGTGTCATCCTGATTTAATTTCAATGAACCCGGACATATTACACGTAGATCCCAATGAAATCCAAAGGGCATTGGAAAGATATGATAAAACAGAAGAAGAAGCGAACAATGATATCAAAACAATACAAGAATGGATGAAAAATCAGCCACACCTACCTGAGATAATGGGTAAGTTTCCATTGCTTATTAACCAGATGTAGTAAAATTGTTGAATTTTAGATAAAGTTCCAATCAGAAATTTTCTGTTTTTGAATAAATTCAACATGGAAAAAACGCAACGGAAAATCGACATGTACTACACCGTAAGAGGTTTATTTCCCGATTTTTTTGAAAACAGTAACCCAAAATTGGAACTAATGCAGAAGGTCATGGAAGCGGTGTAAAATAAAAATAAGTGTGTTTTGTAAAAAATACGTTGGACTGAATTTTAGCTACCTGTGCGTTCTTCCCACGGCTCTCGACGGGATTCACAGGGTGTTTATCATTAAAGTAAATCCTGGAAATGTGTTTGGACCTAGGGAGCTAGTTGTACACTCTACGAATGTGACAGAGATGAGATTATACGAAGACTGCTTGGCAGCTGGAGAAATTTTGATCTTCGATATGACTAACATTTCTTTGAGTGATGTAAAAAAATTAACTCCGACTCTGATAATAAAAATTTTGGTTATTTTTGAGGTGAGAAAAATAACGTTATCAATACGAAACTCTTTCTCTGCTTTCAGAAAGTGTATTCTATTCGTTCTAAAGACATATACATATTAAACAGTCCTGGTTTTGTTTCTGTGGTACTATCTATTCTGAAGTCGTCTCTGAAACAAAAAATTTTCGAAAGGGTGAGTGTTAGAAAGAATGGAATACAGTGTCCAAAAGTACGTTACCACATTCTTAAAATTTAAGTATGGGGAGACATTGTCGTAGTTTTGTGACATTGTTTAAAGATTAAAAATTTATAAGTATATATTTTTAACAAGATCCAGTGTTGTGATGATTCGGCAGTATTAAAGGGTATTCTTTCGAACGACCAGTTGCCTAAGGATTATGGAGGAGAGGGGCCATCATTACATGAGCTGAATGGTAACGAGCTTTTATGAAATTTAGTACAAATTTTTACGTTTTTCACTTTCCAGAAATGCTAAAATTAAAGTTGACTACGTACGAAGAGCGCTTTGATTCGCTAGATAAGCTTCGAACCGATGAAAGTTTGAGACCTAAAAAACTGAACAAGGATGAAATATTTGGTTTTTTTGGGCATTTTATGAAGTTAAATGTAGATTAGATTATAGTGTTACAAGACAAATAGTCTAATGTGTAATGGTTACATTTATTATATATAAATAAATGTATCTTTTGTGGGTTTTATTAATCTGAATCTGAAACAATATCTGTGATATATAACGGGCGAACGACATAATTTGTACTGAGTCATTTTGGAACTGAATCCGTATATTTTCTCTGAAATGATATGTTTAACGTTTTTGACAAAACCAATTTTAAGTGCCAAAAATTTTGTAAACTTAAGTCTTTATAAACTGATTTTTAACTTTGATTTAAATTTTACGTTAATTGATTAATCAATCTAACCGTGATTTGAACAACTGTTACGTGAAAAATCCCTTCTTATCTTACTTTTCTTGTTTTCTAGCTCCCTGTTGTTTAGTGGAGAAATGATCTTTATGTTAAAGACATATCTTTGTCGAAATTTATTTAAACGGTATGTGGATTCAAGCAGCTTGAAATGAATTCCGGGAAGAATTTCGTGACAACATCGTCGACTATGCCCATTTTTGCAACACATTACAACGATGATACAAGGTTCCAAGAAACATCGCTTCTATAAAGGAAAGAGGAAAATGGCAAGTCGAAAGAGAAGAAAATTTCTGAAAATACTGGAAAGGTTAGACAGATGATGGAGCAAATGCCTACAACATCCACACGACTTTTAGCGTAGCAAATGCCGCGCAATATTGCGAAAAGATTAGAAAAGAAAAAAAGTCTAGATTTTTGTCTCGCTAGGTCTGAATTGGGAATATGTTGTTGTTCCCTGTTTATTTTAAATGACAGAAAGAATTTATCGTTTTAAAGGTTACTACGCTACTGATTTGATTATTTTTTATCAAACGCAGAAGAATTTAGTCTCTGATTCCATAAACAACTGCATAAAAATATTTCTTTAATTAGTTATCAGTAAAAAAACGAGTATATAATAATTGTTGTGATATGTTGTTACTTGAAGCTAAATAAAATATCTATCATACATATATATACGGAGGGGACAGTAAACATATGCAAAATTTTAGGAAATAAAACAACGTTTACCAATAACCACTAACGAAGAATTAATATGTCATTCTAACTCGCACGTTTTACAAAAAGCAAGTCTTGTGGCAGTTATTTTCACAAACGGCCGTAAAATCATCTGGACTCGAATTAACACGTCCCGTTTTTAAATCCTGCAAAACAGTAGAAAGAAAAAATATTAGACGTATCATTTTTGCAATATCTTCGCCAACATACATATTTTAGGCAAAAAAATATCAGGGTTTAGATATGTTATTATTAAAAAAAACAATCACCTGTTTTACATGGGAGAAACGATCCTGGTTGATAACATTTTCCATCATCATTTAAAAACTTGCCGGGATAAAATTCGTCGCGGTTTTTCCAAATTATATGGACTGTATGAACTACCCACGATAATGGCAGTATCATGGCACTTTTTGGAATCATAAAATTTTCTATTTCTACATAGTCTAAAATGTAACCTGTTTTAAAAATGCTTCAATCAAGTTTGATACAGTGTCATCTGTATAAGAGAAGCTTAACTATAATTAATTAATTAGTCTTCTGGATTAACCCTCCAATTATATGAATTTTGTTAAACTTTCTTCAAACGACGCCACTGTTTTCTTGTACTTTGGTAACACACTGTAAATATCGATGTCGATCTATTGTGTTCACATTATTAGGTACAAATATAGTTACGAAATAACCCATACGCCTCCCGTTGCGACGCCTAAGGGTTTTCGGAGGGCTTTGTAGTATGTAGGGCGATGATGGGTGACTCATCATCGATGACGGCGGCTGTGAGGCGTTCGATTAAGAAAAAGCCTCGATCGCGAAACGTCTATAAAGGAGCGGTGGCTGTTTAAATAGAGACCACCGCTGGGAATGGCCAGTATAATCCAGGAGTCGGTTGTTGAGTACGAATTAAGTTGAGTCAGAATTATTCACTGTGTATAAGTCGTACACTTAAATTTGTATTACTGAAGAATAAATTGTTGAGTTTTATTCACGCCGATTTTAATTACCGATCATAAGAGAGCTCGTAAAATTCTGGAGTAGACGCATCACATAGATGTTAATTAGGTCTACTTTTTGGTGTGGTTTCAATGGCGTTCTACTGATATTATCCAATCATGTTTGTGAATTAGTTAATGAGGGCTTGACAACACCGGTTGCATTATACCCCTGCCCTAGACAGCGAAACGAATCCAGGTATATATTGTGGGAATCTTCTTTCTCTTCATTGAGACGATCGATTTTGCCAGTGCCATAGGAGCGCCTTTCACCGATAGGGAACGACTCTTCGTAGGATTGATCTAAATCCCTCTCTTGGCTACGAAGCAAGGTACAGTATCGAGCAAGATCAGTATGTTGACATACTTGTCGGCCAAGAGGATAAGGTCGTCGGCAAATGCGAGACACGCAACCATCGACAGATCCATTATTTAATTCGGTCATTACGAGTTGGACTCCTTCCTATAGAATGTTTATAATTGTAGACGACCGAAAATTACTTTGAATGTACTTAATCATACCTTCCTCGATATCTAACCTCCACAGTGCCCTAATCAAGGATTGGTGTGAGACCAAATCAAAGGCCTTACTTATATCGAGAGAAACCACATTATAAGATTTCCGCCCTTTCCGCCGCATACTAATATAGTATTCTAATAACTCGACATTGGCTAATGCTCCATCTACGTTCACGAAGTCTTTTTGGAGTATATTAAGAGAGAAGGCCGTCTTAAGACGATTAGCAATTCTGCGGTGAAACAGGCATTGTATTTCGGACCCAATCCTAATAGGGCGCCAGTTATTAGGATCGCGTCGTGATTCGTCCTTGTGCTGGAATGTTGTCCTTGCCTCGCGCCAACCGGAAGGAACCAATTTATACTGCAACATGATAAAAAATAAGACTGCTAATAAATCATTTGCGACATCCTTAACATCCGACGTATCAATACCGCCGGGCCCGGGAGCTGAATTCTGTCAATTCTTCTTCGCGAACGCGACTTCCTCGGTATTCATAGGGAAATATGTGTCTGCTCTCGTCTTCTTCAATGTAAATTGTTCACCGTCCTGCGGAGAAACGGATTCCAGTATGCCACTATACAGTTGTCCTACCGCCTCGACTTGGGGGTATGTTTCTTCCTCGAATAAGCTCCCCCTTAGGGTCGTATCGGCTAATACCTTTTTGTTTTTCTGGTACATATCTTGGGCCTTTTTGTATGTGCTAGCCCGCTTATTACGCCCCGTGTTCACTTGACCATAGTTCTTGGCTGGCCTGGTTTTCTTAGAAGAGCCCTTTTTGTGTCACTTTCTCGTATCGAAGAGTTACGTGGCAGATTGCTATCGCATCTGATCAGCGATGATCTGCGAGAATTTTCGCTTATCGCAGAGATTAGGTCAGTATGCTCCTGAGAAATGTTTGTAGGGGTCAAGGAGACTAACTAAATCTTCTATAGTCGGTGCGCACAGGGTCGTGGTCGGGTGAAAAGTCGAGTCCAGTGGTTGGGTGTCTGGGTTTTCAATTAGAGATGTCTGCATTCGTGCGTTATGATGTACCAGCGCTTCCACTACCTCAAACCCCACATCAGGACCCCGAGATGACAAACTTTCCTACGAAAGCGATCTGAGGACTGCAGACAAGTCATGAGGAATGATATTTGTTGTTGTGGGGGTTTCGTGAAGATCTTGGGTTGTTCTCAACTGCTCTCTCCGGTTGTAGCGGAGGGCCCGTGGTGTTGGGGGCATTGTAGGTCTTTCCTCACGATTGGTGGAGACGGCGAGCGATATACTCCTTATGGTGGTGTGGAGTTCGGCGTAGTTATAGGAACTGGATTCATGTGGCTTTACAGAACTGGTGGCGGCTTCGAATGGGATAACAATCTCTTCAACCTGCGTGTTGTTTAGTGGCATGGGAGGGAAGTGCAATTCAGGGATGGGCGTTGATGTGCCTATATTGGTAACGATCTTCCTGCTGTCCTCCTTCACCTCTCTCTTTGCATTCTCGAGATATTTCTTGTATACCGCCTTCTCCCTTCTATGTCTAATTTGATGTACCGTTAGGTCCGTTGCGACAGTCATCTAATCGAGAAAAGTTTTTCCAGGGACCGCCCTTCCCTTTATACGGGCTAATATGGTGAAAGTTTCCGGATCCGATTGCGGCAATAGTTTCGCCAGTTCCTTCTAGTATAATTAGTTATGACCTCGTTTCTCGTGTTGACGTACCAATTCATAATTTGGAAATTCCAACTTGCAAAGTTGGCACTTGGTACGCCTCATCTCGCAAGTACGCTTTATCGCATTTGTCGCAGTTGTATGGAAGTCTGATTGATGTTGAAGATGGGTAAGGTAAGATGGCGAAATTATGGGGGGGATGGAGCATGCGGCGAAGGATCGGGATTTTGTTTCACGCCTCTCTTATTCGACTTTGAAGGTTTGGCCGACATGCTTTATCAATACCGGTACGTAGCCAGGATTTGCACTAATGGTGCACGTCAAAAAGAAGCAGAAGCTAATTTTTTCGCTCACAAAGGAGCGGCGTCAAAAAAATGAGGAACAGAAAAGAATAAATAAAAGACAAAAAACTGTAAAAAGACAAACAATTAAGCATTGAAGCTCAGTCATAAACAGAAAATGAAGAAATTCTCTTATATACTCGAGTCGAAAAGTAGAAAAACAATACGGAACCAGAGAGGACGGACACAGGTAACTCTGCAACCCGACAATGATCCCCCAACTACGAAAGCTGGAGTGCCAAGATGGCCGTGACAAAAATCGGTAAGTCCAATCCACACCAAAATGCCGGAAATCAATTCCTCAAATCGAGAAATACACGCCAAAGTTTTTTCCCGCTCGAGAACAGCCCAGGGAGCTGAGTTTTATATTCCTGAATTGAGCGTTGCGGGTGTCGATGTTGAGATAAGTGTATATCTGAACTCCCCAGACCTTCAGGAGTTCAAATATACCCGGCGTCGTCGCGAGTCGCTCAAATCTGATGTCAGAATTTTTGTTACAACTGCCCGAATGACTCCCCAAAAGGCTCGCACGTCCCAGGATCGAAATGGACGTTTTAACCGAAAAGACGCTATCTTAATTGTGACTATTTTTCCAATAAAGAATACTTAGCTTCTGTGTTTTATTAAACTATCATACTTATTAAGGCAAAAAAACGCGAAACACCAAAAACATGGGTTCTGTATCAGGTCTTAGCTGATAGCCACTAATTCCCGTCAAAGAAACGAATACAAGAACCCACTAGGTACAGATTAAAATAATGCTGAACTATTTCGCGTTTATTTACAAATAACTCTGGAGCTACTGGACCGATCTTAATGAACTATGCGGCAAAATGACCCTGGTCACAAGACGCGTCTGTCAACATCAAACACAGAAAAATCGCTGCACTTTTAACGAACACAATTCAACACACACGGAGCGACAAAACACAGGTGCGTTTACATCAGGCTAACAATATTGAACCTATCGTAAAAAATGGTCGAAGTTTATTTCGACAGAACTTCCCTTATTTCATCGGAAAATTATAATATCAGATTTTGCTATGTTTGTTTTGTGATACGTAGTGATAACCTCTATACAGTAAAAACTGGCGGCATGAATAACACTCTCGCAGCCCTTGCAAGGGAATGTGAAAATTGCACAAGTACGGACAATGTAAAATATAACTATTTAAAGCATATAACCAACGGAAAAAAATGGCCTCCCAGCAGTAAGCTAACTTCTGATGCAAACACTTGAATTTGGTTGTTTATACCTTAGATCATATAATAAATAGATACCACCATGCCGTGTTCTTTCCCTAGCAGAGCCTGTGACGACATCCTCCTGTCACACATCTCTCTCGTATATGGAGGGATTACAATGAAGCTATCCTTGCCTGATCACTATTTGAATTTTGCGCGCCTAAATTTTAGGAAGTATGTCTGAACTAACTTCGTACCAAATATGTTGACAGCTTGATTTTATAAATAATTCACAGTAGATAATTAAAGGAATAGTAAATTATTGGACAGCAATTGTGATCCTTTATGATTACATCACTTAAAATAGGATCTTTGTTCTAAATTCTAAAATTGTTTTTTGTACAACAACTCGAAAGAGAGGTTAGAAGAAACATCTGTCAAAAGCGATTTGTTGCGCTGGTGCGGTACAAGGATGGAAGTGAAATAGACATATACAGATGAAATGCATATAACAAAGATGAAGATGTGGTGATCACACAAGGATAGCATTATACTACTCCTCTTGACGTAGAAAACGACAACAGATAGCTTCATGTCTAGTCACAGCTTTCAGTTTGAGTATTGGTATCTATGTATTATATGATCTAAGGTTTATACATCGGAAGAATGTCACGCAGACATTTGTTTGATTTGAATGTTCTAAATATTATTCTATTTTTTTTTATAAAACGGATATATTCTCATTAAAAAAAAAAATGGGGTGACTCATTTTTAATTTAATTAATAAAAAAATGTTATGAAGTTGTAAACATGGGTAATAAACAGCCTGAGAGAAAAAGAGGAAAAAAACGAAAGACCAAGTTCGGTCCACGTTCCGAGCTCTGACCCACTGAACCACGATCGGGATATCGTACGCTAATGGTAAACTATTAGTACCTATATGTTTTTGCAAAAATTTGGACGATTAGGGAAAAAACTCAGCAGATTCGTACACCACACTTATAGGAGTATATTGTTGTATAACAGTTAAATCAAATAAACATAGAATTCTTTGAAATGACGTCATCAAATTGTTGGTGGAGATGATTAGCAAAATTTTGGTCAGAGTTTAACAATCTAAATGATATTTCTAATATACATACAAAATTCGATAACAATCGGTCCAGCAGTTTCTAATAAAAATGGTGATAGACACCAGACAGACGGAAACGGGAGACTAGATTTTTCGTAGTGTAGCGGTCTTGAAACTTCCTTAGCATACCCTCGGGAATAAAATGATAAAGAATTTACAGGACCACCAATTGTTGCTAGTTCTGTTATTTCGTCTAAGTTGTGAGTCAAAATTTGTCGACTTTCATTGTCACGAAAAAACGATTTGTCGAGAAACAAGGCGCTCGAAATACTAATAACATAGGTACGAAAATATGTAAGCACTTTATCAAAAAGGCGTGGTTAGATACCTGACTAAAATCTTAGTACAGTGTCTTATGTTGTCGGAAAGTTGGCAATAAATTTTGTTTGATGCATCCATACATGAATAGGAGAAGAAACATTTTGTAAAATTAAAATCTAAAAAGAGAGTTGTAATGTTCCACCAGAAGTAGTACCTTTCCTTCCAAATATAAAATCGAGCAGGTAAAGTGGTGATTTCGCTAAAGCTTCGTCTTCTATTAGAGCTTTTTTTAATATTTTAGCATGCGAAGTCACAACAGTGTTCATTAATCCTAGTTTTTTTGCTGTAAATCGGTTCAAATTTCTGTGCTTTTGAACCTAATCTATGTAAAGAACCTACCACAGGTAAATTCGGAGGTCCTCGCAGTTAAACGATATTTTTGATACTTTTGTAGTGTACAAACCTATGTATAGTTTAGGAAATATCGTTGTACCCTATAAAATTTTATGGACAATAACGAGGCCGACAGTAGTACAATGGTAAGAAATATTTATGGCTCACACCGGTCCACCCGAATTTGTCGGAGAACATTTAGCAGGTAGTTGTACGCATAAAATAATGGTCATTTTCGTTCGTGACTAACGATGGTCCTTGTCGGGACCTGGATTATTCTGCTTTCTAACATCTGCGGATTACTAGTGTCCATCTCGTTATTGTCAATAAAATTTTATAGGGTACAACGATATTTCCTAAACTATACAAAGAAAGTACGTACATTAATGTCCATGAAAATATGATCATCATCTAAAAAAATGTTAAACAAAATATTAATTCACATTTTTTTAAAGTACTTATAAACGAAAAAAGATAATTAAAATTATTATTTATATTTTTCTCGAGTTATTATGCCGTATGATTGTAACGAAGCGAATTTTCGCGGGAACCCGTACGTACCACCGTCACCGGTTTTTTTTTGTCGTCACCGTCTCAAGTCGAAACCGTCGTGCACGCGTCGTGTACCACCACCGCGCTCCCCTCCCGTACCATCTTCGTGCGATTTCCAGCTTCAAGGTGGCCGCCTCCAAGAGGAGCCCGTCCTAAAAGAAGTCGCCGCCCAGGAGGAACGACCGTACCGGACGTGTTATTCCTTTTCTTGTTGTTTTATTGATGTAGATAATTAAGAATTAGCAGTAAGATTATTATTTTAGCCGTGTAGCTGGTGGCAGGGAATAAACCAGATTTATTGTTTAAAATATTCGTTGCCGTTTTGTTTTATTTTCTTATTTTCGGGATCGCTCACCACCTGAGACCCGTGTCTCCGGCTTGAGAGCAACCCCGGCGCTCCCTCCCCTGGACAAGGAGCTGGTGCCCGAACGTCCGCCGCTCCTGACTTTATTTGCTATAAATAAATGAAGCGATTTATTTTTTCAACCCTCTACTAGTTATATATAAACAACTGCATACATATTTCTTTCTCTTATCAGTAAAAAACGTGTACGTACATAATGTTAAATTTTGTTACTTGAATCTATATCTTTCATACACATGCGGAGAGAACAGTAAACATACAAAAGTAGGAAATAAAACAAAGTTTACCAATAAAGGAAAATGTGTAATTCTAACTCTCAAGTTTTACAAAAAGCAACTCTTGTGGCTTAGGAATTAGGGTAATTCCACAAGAAGCCATCAAATTAACTGGACTAGAATTAGCACGTTCAATTTTAAAATTTTGCAAAACCGTAGAAATAAAAAGAAATATTATCATTTTTGCCAGATCTTCGCCAACACACATTCTTTTGCCTAAAATAGCAAGGTTTAGATATGTTTTTACTAAAAAACCAATCACCTGTCTGAAATGGGAGAAACGATCCTGGTTGATGAAATTTTCCATCATCATTTAAAAACCTATCGGGACAAAATTCTTCAGGGTTTTTCCAAACTGTAGGATCTGTATGAAGTGCCCATAGTAGTGGCATTATCATGGTACTTTTTGGTATTATAAAATTTTCTACTTCTATATCGTCTAAGGTGTAACGTGGAAATCCTAAAGGAAGTATACTTCTGTTTCTAAGAACTTCGGCAATGGTAGCTTCTGTGTAAGGTAGTTTAGGCAAATCATCCATTTTAGGTGTTTTACCTTGTAATACATCAAACAGTTCCTGACGTACTTTGTTTTGTATGTTTTCATATTTTGCTAAATACAACAAAATCCACAGTAACGAATTCACGGTAGTTTCGATACTTCCGCCAAGCATATCTACCACGAGGTGAAGCAGTTGCTCTTCATTGTAAATTTCTGTAGGAAGAAATTTAGAGCCTTGTGTTAAAAATGCTTCAATCAAGTTTGGTACAGTATCGTCCGTATTAGAACCGGTTAGTTTAACTTCCTGGATTAATCCTTTTCCAATTTCATGAATTTTGTTGAAACTTTTTTCAAACGACGTTACTATTTTCTTGTATTTTGGTAACACACTGCAAGTAACGACATCAATCAATAGGACGCAACATATTTAAGTATAAAAACATTGAACCTACCGTAAAAATGGTAGAAAGTTTAAAGCACCACCAATTGTTGCTTGTTTTGAAATTTCATCTATATTGTGAGTTAAAATTTGTCGAGTTTCATTGTCACGGGAAAACGCCTTGCCGAGAAACAATGCGCTCGAAATATTAGTAACGTAGTATACTATACTGTCAGAAGGATTCAATGTTACGTAGTCTCCTTGTTCTTTTATATACTAGATACGAAAAAATGTTAGCATTGTTATTACATATGTAATAGTGCATAATTACATACCTGAATAAACTCGTCAGCACAGTTTCCTATATGATTCTCTAGAATTATTTTGTTGGATGAGGTTCTGGCAGCACCTGATGTTCTCAGAAAATTGGCAGTAAATTTTCTTTGATGTTTCCACACATGAATAGGACTATAAGCAACACCTTGTAAAATATAAACATCGTCACACAAAATTGAAATGTTACATCAGGAAAGTACCTTTTCCTCTAAATATAAAATCGAGCAAGTAAAGTGGTGGTCTTGCCAAGGCTTCGTCTTTCATTAAGACTTTTTTTAATAGTTTGGCATCTGAAATTACAACAGTGTCCAATAATCCTAGTTTTATTGTGTAAATCGGTCCATATTTTCGTGCAAGTTTTGTTAAAGAAATGTGCGGTGCTTTTGAATCTAATCTATGTAAAGAACCTATTAGGGGTAAATTCCAAGGTCCTGGCGGTAGACTAGATTTTCTTTTATTTTTGTAGTATACATACAAAGAAAGCACGAACACCAAGATCCATGAAAACATGATCATCTAAAAAAATGTTAATTAATATTTTTTCAAGAAAATATTGGGGTCAAAATTCGAGTTTTATGTATTAAAATACCAAAATCAAATGTCAAAAATTAATCAAAATTTTGTTTTAGTTTTTTAAAGGTAACATAAGCTAACACTACGGATTGTAGGTAACATTGTAACTTTTACTGATATGTACTATTATTTTTAAATTTCTCCCAAAAAAAATCTTTCTTTGTTGCTTGTACAAAAGGTGTATTGAAATTTTCAACATACTAGGTTTTTCTTTATTGTTGGAAATTTTAAAATGAATCAGCGCCAAAGGCAAAGTTGTTGAAGACGGTCTAAAATATTTTTTGTAATAAAGTAGTATTTGACACCGACCTTTTTCTTTGAGGTAAACATTTTCAAACTCGAGTGATGTTGTAACTGAGATATGCGGCATTTACGCATTGTTGACTAGTTTTTAGCCGGACTTATTTGGAAAAAGAACTTTCATATCAGTTTCAAAATCTTTGGTAAAACCTTATAATTTAGGGAAAATTTCCGAACACGTTTCGTGCAGATAAGAAAGAAAGATTATTTAAAGAAATCTAAAGACATGACGGCAGTCACACTTACATTGCTAAAAATTGAATTTTAACAGAAATAGATGCGGAATGATAAGAAACTTTCCGAGCTCACGTACCGACACTTATTGTGTCGTTACAATGCGATTTTTATTTAATTTTTAGAATTTCGTTGTATGTCGATTTGTCTTAAATATTTTTAAAATTTCATTTTTCTGTATTATTTGTCACATCGTATTTTAAAGTCTGCTTCAAATTCTGTTCTGTCTCCCCATAAACGGTACTGATTCTAAGAATGCAATTGTCTTTAAATAATAAAAAAAAATGTTTCTTTGTGATCTGCGCGTTATAAATGCGATGTATCTCATTTAATATGCTGTATTCGAGACAAAGCTCTAGTTTAAAAATTTTTAAGTTAAACACAAAGATCGTTGCCGTATACTTCTTCAATAAAAAAGATTTTAAATCATACAACTGACCGACTTTAAGATCTTCAATAATTTTAAAGAGTTTAAAAAAACTCTAATGTTGAACATTTCAATATATTTTTCATTACTCTAAAAAAACTAAGGCAGACATTTTGAACAATTTTTTAAATATGATACACAACCAAAAAACGCAATTTTAAAATTATGAAAATTTAGGAAACAATGTGATTTATTATGAAACTCGAATTTTAACACGAATAAATGAGGAATAACAAAATAATAAATTGGGAAAAATTCATGATCAACTTCTTCAGAAATTAATGACAATACCGCCGCAAATTTTCTTATGTAAAATACATTGCTAATTACGCGTTTTCTACGGCGCCAAACCAAAATGGAACGAACAACAGATTTTTATACACAACTATGCGTGAATAACAAATTTAAAAACGTATTGGAGAATAAAGATAAAGTAATCTTAATGCATATTTACCACAAATCTATTCCAAAATGTGTGCACCAGCTGAAAAAAAAATCGGAAAACTTCAATAATTCGAACTGAATAGATTTGTCTTTTATTTTATTAGTCTTCCATTGAACAAGAGACTTTTATTTGATGAATGCCTTTGCAAGGTTTACAACACTACTGCGTGGAAAAGTTTTCCACTTATCAAAATTTCCTCACTCTTTAGTTCATAACAAGTTGACCTTATAAGTGTTCACAATTTCGAAGTGTGTAGCCGTCTGAATCACTGAATTTTTAGTGCGGCAACCCACTGAACTTAGGCAGGTACTTTCATGTTGGGTTGAGGCTTCGTGAGTGTCAAAGTACGAAGAAAGTGGTCTTCGTTTCCTTCTGTCTGTCGTTTGTGTCGATTTTTATTCTAAAAGTAATCTCCGAAAGTATTGAACCGATTATTGTTGTTAAATTTTATAAAAAAATCAAAATTGGACAATAATGTTTTGTAATTTAACTTTGAAACTGCAAAACCGAGAGTTCTGGAATCTTGTAAACATATGTATTAACGTTGTCGTAAGCATGGTAAATCGATGATCAAAAGTTCTCTGTTTATCTATCTACTAATGACCTCATCTCAAAATTTTGTCGAATAAATGCTGCCTAAAATATGCGAAATATTGTGATAACCCAGACATCCTGCCAAAAATGACAAGTGAATAAAATTTTAAAACCCACGAAAAAAATAAACAATTTCGTCTTCAACGTAATCGTCAATTCCACTTGACACCTACGTTGTGTTTTTTTTAATGGTGGAATGCGTTACAATGCAAAGTGGTGAACCCTAAGGTTGGAAAAGCGCCCCCAAATAAAACACAAAATATGGAGGATACAAAAATCGTTTATTCCTCCATCCTCACAAAAGAAAAAAAAAAGCTGCGACAAAGTACACGTTGCGGTGGTTGAAAACACTTTGATGTTCAGCTACAAAAAAAAAACTGCCTAACTTTAATACAAAAAACTTTAAAACCAAGGAAACACAAGTTTTGTATCACATTCAGGCACAAATTTATAGCTAATACAGTTTTTGATGAGTGGGACTCACTATCGAAAGATATCGTATTATATTTGAGTCAGTACAGACATTTATGATGCACATTGTGCTAAAATGAACAGATTAAACTAGCGAACGACTTACACTACTTGTTATGGCGCGGGTATAACAGGCTTAATAATAATAATAATAATAATAAATTTATAACACACAAACAATTTTTTAGCAATAAAAAATTATTCTATCGGAATATATACTATTATATTAATAAACTATTACAGAAGAAATTCAATTAACTGTTAGACTTGCAAGTTTACAGGATCTAACAACTTTCTAGTCAAAACTTTGGTCTCAAGAATTTGAATTAATAAATCTACCCAGTGGGTTCCTCAATTATCCAATAAACTATCCACAGTTACACCAATGAACAATAATCAAATAACACTTGACGAGCTGATGAATGATATCAATAGAACACAAAACTGGAAATCACCAGGACCAGACCAAATACATAATTTTTTGATCAAAAAATTTAATTGTGTAGGCAGTTATTTACTAAAACACTTAAATCAGTTCCTTCTTAACCCATCCACATTTCCAACATTTTTATGTCATGGTGTAATATATCTAAAACCTAAAGATGATGACACAACAAATCCAACAAAATACAGACCTATCACATGTTTACCTACAATTTACAAAATACTAACCTCATGTATAACACAAAAAATCAACACTGTTTTAAACCGGACATCATTAACGAAGAACAATTAGTCGAACTTTCCATCATCTATGAACCAACTAGGAAAGAAAACAGAAACATATTGTTACGTTGACGGGTGAATAAAATCGGCGTGGTTTAAACTCAACAATTTATTTCTTAATAACTCGAATTTACACGACTAACTATTATAGCAGTTATGTACAAAATAATTCCGGCGCACTGCACTGGCCTCTCTTGACTCAACTGGGTGAACAATAATCGTTCCCGAAGGTGGCATCTATTTAAACCCATCCTTCTGTGATCGAGGTCTTTCTCGAATATCTATAGCGATTTCCGCTTCCAGACTTTTCGAACGCCGCTTCGAGACTTTCCTGGACGCCGCAATCGAGACTTCCGGTAACCGGCTCCAGACTTGTCTTTATGCGACTGCCGCTCGGCCGTCCCGATTGATGATCATCTCCGTATTTTCTAGAGAACTCATAGGCGTCGTACCGGGGCGGTGTATGGGCTCATTTCGTAACAATATATACTGCTTTTATTGATTATTATTTAGTATTCTGTCCCGCATTCGTGGCTACTGGCTAGGCAAAATTCTGGAATTATACAAAGTTGATTCTAAAATATCTGCTCTTCTCAAATATTCAATGGAATTTTGGAAAACCATCCTTCAAATAACCTTAAAATAAGTCATAAAAATCTCGTCATTATCACGTGATTTTTTGAGCGAATGACGTCGCCGACGAGTTATTACCAAAAATTGACGTGAATTAGACGACAGTCTGCTGCTTGGGAAGAAAAACTTAACATCGCAGGAAAATTCTCTTATTACATGATGAGAAAGTTCGATTCACGAAAATCGTTCAGGAAATTACCACTCATTTAGATTCACACAAAAAGTACATTAATTCCTCATTTAATAACTTAGACATAATAAGTCTTACATTACAATTCCATTTTACGCGCTCAAGAAAATAGTCGGTATAACTATTCTAAATGAGAATATCTAATAATAATAATCAATAATAATAATGATGATGATTACTTGGATATTATTATTGATTATTGCTAGGTTTTGCTAGTAAATAATTGTGATGTTTATTTTTGGGACTATATTGGCCAGTGTTAGTAATATCACTGCAGTGTTTAATAACACAACACTGTTTTCAAGTAAATAAGTAAGTGTATATCGTTTCGACTTCATTTCTAATAGTGCATATTACTCCATCTTTTGTGTTACATATCCAAGGTTTAGTTTTTCATGTATGTAAGTACAAATATCGAGTATATTAAAGTATTGTACGTTGTACGAAATTAAGAATAATAACGTAATTCTGAAAATTTGTTTCTAGAAAAATCGTGTAGGTAATAAATAAAGCAGCCAAAATTTTTTGAAAAATATTTTCGACGTTTGAGATATATTACTATTTCTGATACATGTAACGTCAAGATACACGACTTCTTGGGGATAATAGTAATGAATCTCTACATTTATCTGAAAACTAAAACACAAAAAAAATGTAACTTTTTCAAAAGACATATAATGCATTACATATTTTGTATATGGAAAAAGGTTATAATTGATGTACTATACAAGAGATGGTGTTTATTTATTTTAATTTTTGCATAAATATATTTGGTAATGATGCTCTCCATGCAAATTTACTACATTTGGCATAGTTCCATTAAAAAGAAGTTGATCATAAGATTTATTCCGACTATGGTGTTGGAAATAATTGTAATATTATTATCATCAATGAATCATTCGAAATTAACTTTTTTAATTCTAGGTTATGGACTCAGTATCGACTTCATTAATTTACCGATCAAAAATTATAAGTTGTGTCAATAACCTTCGGGAAATATCATGGACATTTGATGATCTCAGAAAGCGCAGTGATATAGTAAATGAAGTAAAGTACCTATCCACTTGTTGCAACTATATGTGTAATCGTAATCTACAGCGTTTCTGCAGCAGCAATAACTCCTCTTTTTACACACGAGACAGAAGTATTTTTAGTCAAGGATGTTGTCGAAAAATATTTTCCAGGCTTGGGTACAACAATGACACAATTTTTTTGGTGTCTATTTCCAATTCTGACCTACCTCGGAGCACTAAACGTATTTCTCTCTGTTTATTGTTTACTACAATTGAGAATTCAGTTGTTGCTTCTTAACAAGCAAATTCTCAACTTAACAAAGGATCCACTGGGAGTTGACAAACTTATTTTATATTATCCTTTAAATTATCAAAATATTATTTATGAGAATCTAAGATCTTGTATTGAGAGAGATATAATTTTGACTAAGTTAGTGGGTAAAATGCTTCAAAGCAGCAATAATCTAAACCTTGTCTTGCAGCTTTATTTTGCAAAATATTAGGGTGTTCTCGACACCTATCCACTTCTGCAGTTTTCAGTATTTATTTTTGAACATAATTAGCATAAATATTTTTATTCTTGTAAGTAGATGAGATAATAACATTTATCCACGATTACGACCACTATTATTTTTAGAGCTTCGAAACAGAACAATCGATAAAGAATACGACTGATGTCGTATGTATATTTACTAATTATGTAGGAATAGTCTTATCTTTTAACTCTTTGTGAAAGTTTAGGCGAAATGGTAACCGAATTAATTTTTTTTTTTTTAACTATTCAAATATTCAATTTTTACAGACTGGTACTTTTTTTGACTCAGTAGCATGTCTACCTTGGTATAAATGGAACACAAGAAACAGGAAAGCGCTATTAATGTTGATGATGAACACTCGAAAAATTTATCTATGGATTCCAGGAGTGGGTACTCTAAATACTGCATCAGTCGTAACGGTAAGAGTTTATCTTTTAAAATTAAATACTCCTAACAACTACGTTTTCCAGTTCTGTCGACTGTCGTATTCGTTAAACACAGTGATGTTCGCTTTAACACGATTGAGCAGTGGAACCCGATAAAATCGTTGTTCAAAATATATAACAATGTTAAATCAAATTTGATTCTATGATCCTGACACAAAAATTACTCTGCACTTTCTAAAACTTTCACACTTTTAGCTTGTAAATAGTAAATGATTCTCATTTGGTCATATAGGTATAAATGGCAATTTTGTTTAATAACATTAATGTCTAGTAAAATAAGTATACTAATGATTCTATTGTCTACCCTGATGGAGATTATTTTATTAGATTATTAAAGTTATTTCAGAAGCAGTATATCCTTGGTGTTTCGATGCATAACTTCCAATATTAAATACAGTTTAAGACCAACAATTTTTGGCACTCCACTTGGTACCAGCTCTCTAAATTTAAAAATTGGTCCATTGTTTACAGATTACGACATAAAACATCTAAACACACAAAATATTTGCCGACACGTTTCTTCAATCACGTTGACATTATCTAGACAAGGCTAAATTAGAATTTTGTGGCGAAGGCTAAATACCTTCGCCATAAAATTACAACTAGACGTTTATTTATATCCTAATTAGGACTTTTCCCACTCCACCAGTGGTGTAGACGGACCATTATAATAAGTAATTAATTATATTTTATCTTAAAAAAAATATCCAAGACGTTTGTGAATGTCTCGAAATTTACAATTGACAAATTTAACAAAAATAATTTTATTTCTACGTTTTTTTTATTTCCCGAGCGTGAGCTAAGGAAGTATTGTAATCAAATCCATCGGCAGACTGGCTGCTTTCAAATTTTGTCGATACTTAGTTTAGTTTAGTTTATTTATTTACGGAACAGTGCAGAAACTAAATGGAGTTTTAACTCTACGTTGTCAATTTATATAAATTAAACACGTATACGCGGCGAAGTCAATAATTTTCTCTTAAAAAATAATAAAAACCAAAAATATGTTGCATTTGGCTCAGAATGGAATTTATGTTAACAGAGATTTAACTAAGATGCAACAAAATAGAGCTTACACAATAAGGAAGGAGTTCAAAAGAAGATTAAGTGTTGGTGATAAAGACATAAAACTGAAATACATGAATGGTATACCCCAAATTGTTTCTACAAAAAATCAGTAGATTTCCAACAGACTAATTTTTCTAATGTAACATTTTTTGAAATTTTGTACCAAAATGTTAGAGGTTTAAGTTCAAAAACACGGAATTGTTTTCTTAACGTTTGTTCCTCTGGAATGGATATTATTATACTAACTGAAACTTGGTTACATTCTGGTATTTCGTCAAGGGAATTATTTCCTAACCAATTTAATGTTTTTCGATGTGATCGTCAGTATAGCAAAGGTGGTGGTGCTCTGATTGCTGTTAATACTACAAGGATCTCAGTTCAACCACTAAATCTTGTTTCCCCGGTACAGCAAATTGATTTGGTTGGAGTGAGAGTATTCTTGAAAAAAGATGGCATGTTGATAGTTACAATGTATATTCCTCCAGGTCTACCTATATCTTGTTATGAACAAATGTTTGAATACTTGGAAAATACTGTTGATTTCTCGGAACCGATTCTTATCATTGGGGATTTCAATATTCCGGAACTTATTGATGCGACATAGGTACAAGAACAACTGAAATGTTTAATATTTATAGCCACTTTTTATCACTAAACGACTTGAAACAGAGAAATAAAGTACCGTTAAGAATTAATTCTGTTTTAACAATCATATCAACAACCTAAGTTTTTTAAGTTTGCCTCAATTTATTGCACTGAAAAGAAAAACCCGTTAGAGTGCATGGATTAATGGAAATGCAATCATTTTTTCATCTAAGGGCAATAGCAAACATTTGACTATTATTAAATTTAAGGGATTACAGCTTAAAGCAGAAGACAAATTCTGTATTTTAAAAATGCTAAATTTACCTGAATCTATCGGATAATCGTAAAATGGTTGCATTGACAAAAACGTACAGCCTATCAGGAAAATCTCGTTGTCAATACTTTTTACAATGAAGCGAAATGTGTATGTGTAAATAGTAAGTTACCAAAAAGTATCGTAGTATTACACGCTTCTACCGGTATATAATATCCAATATTAATGTTATATATGTATATATGAATTCATTGTATTTTTTTAACTTACAAAGAAATCTGCTTGTTCTAATATGCAAACATAATCTTGTAATTCGTCAAAATTTGTTTGGGTGTGGTTTTGGCGGCATAATTTCTGTTTTTGTTTTCTTTTTCAGTTGTCAGATTTGATGACGTTTCCATGTTGCAGATTTTTTCACTCGTTTCCTTTAGCATTTCTTTCGTTTCGCACATGTGTTTTGTATTTGTTTCAAATCTAAGATAAAATTATGTTCATTAGCATTAGTTCATAAAAAATTGCAGTAACATACCTTTGCAATATTTTATAGCGCCTCATTTTCAAAAACAATCACCGTAAGTTCTTCATAATCAGTGGGAGTATCTTCAGTGATTAATGGTGGTCTTTCCAGCTTATCTGAAAAAACTGCTTTTGTTATCTACGTACAGTTATCAAAAATAACAGAAACACGTAAAAATTGAAATGATTACTTTATTAGATATTAACTTACCTACTATAAAACAGTAAAACCCACACTGAATGGCATAAATTTGCACAAAACTGTGTTAAAAATGAAGTGAGTAATGGATACACGAGAACGTTTCGGTGGTTGAGAACCAACTGGAAATATTGGAATGCTTCTCTGTGAAGTGCAACAAACATAAATACCGAAAAAAGGGAAAGTCCGAATGCACACCCCAAACATCTGATGTATTGTATAGTAAATAGGGATAAGAATAAATTTAATAAAACTGAATATTAATCACTCTCGAATTTTTTTGGTAACCGTCATCACTTTATAAACGTCTTTATAAAATCAAAATTCGACGAAGGAATTCTTCAAAACCTTGTCCCGTTTTAGGGACAGTGGACAAAGAATTTTTATGACTTTGTTTGTGTCGTTCGGTCTTTTCGCTCAACCCCAGATGTTCTATTTATAATTTGCCAAGCAGGTACTTACAAAATAACACTTCGAGAGTAAACAAGTTTTCAGAAATAATTATTTTATTAGAAATTATTAGAATGAAAAAACTTGTCTTTGGTGTATTTCTAATTAAGCCGTTGTATTTTTTGCTCTAAATATAATCAAGCATTATGAAGGCCACTTTTTAAAGAATACGACGACCCACATCTAATTGATCATATAATCTATAAAAAATGACGAAGAAAGGACGGCCTTTTGACGTCATTAATTGACGTCAGAAGTAAGTCATAAAAATCTCG